TTAACAATTAATTTTTACCTACTCAACCTAATTAGCTAACCCAATACCAATACAATCTAAATTTCACAATCCATTCTTTTTTCAGTTTTCCCAAACCCAATTGTCAAGTCCAGCCTATTCTTTTTGTCAATTTAGTCTTCCTAAACCTAATTGCCCAACCCAATTTGCATTGGTAACCCTAGAAGGACTATCCAAAGATTTCAATTTCAAATTTGTGATTCCTCTTCTTCGGTCTCTTCTGTGGCTCTACGTTATAACTTTGTTTCTGCTCCTCAATCCTCATCTGTGATTCTCTTCAAGCTTTCATTGTCACTACCCATTATGCAACCATTGCAACGCTGATCTTCTCCCACCTCTCACTCACACTCAACTCGATAGCTCTTCTCCAATCTCTCAACCAATCACTAGTAACTCATCTCTTTTATGCCGTTTTTCTTAATGAACTTATTGCTGGACATGTGTAGCAATAATTTATGTATTTTTTTTCTATGAACTTTGCTGATGACAGTTGCAGTTTATGCTTTTCCTTTTTTATGAACCTTTTGCTGGATTTGTTGGACTTATATGGTAGTTTATGCCTTTTTTCTTTATGAACTTGTTGCTAACTTGCTAGACCTGCTTGACATGTATATATTAGTTGTGTATATTTACTACTTGTTTGTCTTGTTTCAAAATTTTACTTTATATGATTATTTGAACTAGTTTTATTTAATGAATGTGGAAACTAATGGAGTCTAAGTAGACTCATGTTAAGTTTAGTTTTGATTAACAAATAGTGGAGGAGATGATAGTTTTATTTGATGGAGACTTTGAATACCCGCGGGGATCTATCATTCCCCGCGGGTATGAGAATGAAGGCTATTTTTGAACTTCTGCCAAAAATCTTCGTGGGGATCCCATACCCACCATTGGCGAAGATGGGGATGAGGAAGGGGTCCTCACCCCCGTGGGACCCGTTGCTATCCTTAAACTTGGATATGGACATTAAAAATGTGTTTTGTGAGTAGGGTCCACAACTAGTACACTCTCATCGTCCTTCCTTACCCAGTCACCCCACCGTACCTCCTCCCTCTGCACGTCTTTGCTCATCCTCATCATTGGAGCTGGACCCAATTTCCAAACGCCAGGGTGCTGCCGATTGGTGTGTCGTTGAATTGGCAAGAAACCAAGCAGTAAGCGAATTTCTTGAGACCCATCTGGGACGACAGAGATTTGGGACTCCTACCTAACTTGGCAATTCTGGCAGGTTGACACATCGAGAAAACATAGCAGCCTATAAGGAAATTCGAGACAATCTTTTTGAGAAAAATCCAGTATTTCCAACAGTAAAACTCATCTAAGCCCAGCAGATCCAAAAGATCTATACTTGAATTCCGGGAACTCAGGTCATAGTATTGGTATCAAGACTCAACATTAGATCTGAGAGATCTATACTTGAATTTTTCTAGCAAAATAAAATACTACATTTTGTGGCATTCCTTCCTTTTTCTTGTTTTGCTTTTTGACTCCTTCGAATTTGAGGACTGAGACCCAATCGCTTTTTTAATTTGTTTGATCATCTAGACATTCAATCAATTCAATGGAAGGAGTCACATGAAAAAACGCTTGCTTTTTATTTTAATGATAAGAAGAATTGAAGACGGTGAATTTTGGGTTGCAGCCACAGTGTCGGGAAGAGATCTCTGGCTCAGGGATTATGTTTATTCATGGGTATCTGTAATTATCATCAATTGACTGTGATTTGAGTTTGTCGATTTCAAATTTGGGTTGAATTTGTTCAGTGCTATTTGAAATTAAAACTTTAGACTCTGGATTTTGCGCAGTGAAGAGAGATAAGAAGGAAGAAGACAAGGGTAAAGCTTGTAAATTTAAAGTGAAACGAAGGTAATTATGAAATAAAAAAGTTGTTTAGTTCTGGGTGGAACCCACTAGCCATGTCATTAAAGAGAAGCCCAGAAAAGTGCCACATGAGAATAAACGGTTGCCACCTCATCAAAAACACCATGTAAGCAAAAATGAAACCGAAGGGAACGAGGACATGCGAGTCACGTGACTTCTCAGTTAAATTTTGGGTTTTGGTTAAATGCTAAATTTGGTCCCTTAACTTTAGTGAGTTGCACATTTTTGGTCCCTTAACAATTTTTTACACTTTTTTGATCCCTCAACTCTAAGAAATACACTCCGTTAGTCCTTCTGTTAATTTCGATCGTTAACTCGCTTATATGACATTTTTTATTATTTTTTTGATGACGTGGTAAAAATAAATTAAAAACGTGTTGATGTGGATTTTTTTTTCATGATGTAGATTTTTTTTTTATGCGAACTCACATTATTTATATTTAAAAATAAAAAATAAAAAACTTCCGTCTTCTTCCTTTCTCTTTTTCTTCCTCTTCTTCCTCTTCTTTCTTCCTCTT